TGCAGGTTAGGTCACGCTCTGCGTGTGTCCAATGTGCTGTGGTGCAGAGATGATGGCAGGGTAGGTTCTGTCTGCCTGCTGTCAACTTGTGTCTACGGTCGGGCAGATGTGGAGGCGTCAGGTCTGCTCTCTGTGCTCGACATGATGTGTCGGTGAGGGATGCTGTCAGGGTAGGTTCTTTTGTGTGGTGCACATATGTGTGCTGAGTGCGAAGATTGTGAGGCTAAGGTACTAGACTCTAGTGTGCGGTATGTGTGTGGTGAGAGATGTGGAGGGTAGGTCTGTTGTCGTGTTGTGTATGTCGTCGATGGTGAGAGATGCTGAGAGGGGCTAGGCTACTGTCTGTGTGTATGTGTGTGTGGTGGGAGATGTGGAGGGTAGGTCTGTCTGTGTGTATGTGTGTGTGGTGGGAGATGTGGAGGGTAGGTCAAAGCATCTGTGGTATGTGTGTGGTGAGAGATGTGGAGGGTAGGTCTGCCGTCTGATGTGTGCTGTATGCGTGATGGTGAGAGATGTGAGGGTAGGCTCTGCTGGTGTGTATGTGTGTGTGTGGGAGAGTGAGGTAGGTCTGTTCTGTTGTTAATGTGCTGTGTGGTGGGAGATGTTGTGAGGGTAAGGTCTGTCGCCTGTGTGCTAACATGTGTGTGGTGAGAGCATGTGGAGGGTAGAGTCTGTCCGTCTGTGTGATATGTGTGTGGCTGAGAGCATGTGGAGGTAGGTCTGTCTGTCTGTGTCTGTGTGTGTGGCTGAGAGATGTGGAGGGGTAGGCTCTGTCTATGTGTAGTGTGTAGTGTGTGCTGAGTGTGAGAGAGTGTGGGAGGGTAGGTCTGTGGTGTGTGTATGCTGTGTTGTGGTAGGAGGAGATGTGGAGGGTAGGTCTGTCTGTGTGTACATGTCTGTGACAGATGCGCGTGGGAGATGTGTAGGGTATGAGTCCTGTCTGCTTGTATGTGTGGTGGTGACTGAGCGATGTGCGAGGGCTAAGGCAGTCGGGTTTGTGTGTTCTGTTGTGTGTTCATGTGTGTGGTGGGAGTGTGGAGGTAGGTCTGTCTGTGTGTTGTGTGTGTGGTGGAGATGTGGAGGGTAGGTCAGTCTGTGTGTGTGTTGGTGTGGTGGGAGCATGTGGAGGTAGGTCTGTTCTGTGTTGATCGTGTATGTGTGTGGTGAGAGATGTGGAGGGTAGGTCTGTCTGTGTGTGTGTATGTGTGTGTGGTGAGAGATGTGGAGGGTAGGTCTGTCTGTGTGTGTGTATGTGTGTGGTGAGAGATGTGGAGGGTAGGTCTGTCTGTGTGTGTGTGTGTATGTGTGTGGTGGGAGATGTGGAGGGTAGGTCTGTCTGTGTGTATGTGTGTGGTGAGAGATGTGGAGGGTAGGTCTGTCTGTGTGTGGTGTGTGTATGTGTCGTGGTGGAGATGTGGAGGTAGGTCTGTCCTGTTGTGTATGTGTGTCGTGGGTTGGGAGATGAAGGGTATAGGTCTGTCTGTGTATATTTGTGTGTGGTGGAGATGTGAGCGGGTCAGACTCTGATACTGCTGTGTATGGTGTGTGGTGGGAGATGATCGAGCAGGTAAGGTCTGTCCCTGATGTGTTATGTTTGTGCAGTCAGAAGATGTGAGGGTAGGTCTGTCCTGTGTGATGTGTGTGTGTGCGCAGATATGGAGGGTAGCACGCTGTTAGTGATCAGTGTGATGTGTCGGCAGATCGGGACGAATTGAACTGCCGTCAGCGGTAGGACATCTGTCTGTGTGTCATGCGTGTGTACGTGGGCACAATGTGGACTAGCACAGCATACACGTAACATCTACACGATCACTACAGAATGTCCGAGGTACCTGTTATTGTCGGCTTGAGCAGCACATCTTGCTCTGAGTGTAGCAGAGTCCAGTCTTTCTCGCGTCGTTTCAGGGTCTTGTGTATATGTGTGTAGTGAGATATGTGGAGGGTAGGGCTGTCTGTGTGTATGTGTGTGTATGTGTGTGGTGAGAGATGTGGAGGGTAGGTTTGCAGGGTTTAAGCTAGCCAACAAATTTAGAAAATGCTGATAGGCAGCGCTAGAGAGCTGTTAAATCTTGTGGCAATGACGGTCCATCCTCGGTAGATGGGATTTGATTTTGGGTAGATAGTCCCAGTTAAATATTGAATAGTGACAGTCTAAGAGATAATCGCGGTTATGTATGTATAGATGATCATGAGCAGCTATAGGCAGAATGTGAGGAAATATTTCGTCTGTTCCCATATTGTTTGTATTTTGTTTTCGTCTGCTGCTGACTAGCGTCAGACTAAACGATAGCCGTTATGCATCCGTAGATGGCGGAGGCTTGCCGACGGCGGCCGTCGTCACGGCGATGTGGGGCGTCTGCAGCCTGCTGTGTCACCTGCTGCTGCACGCGAGGCTAGCAGACGCGTCCACTAAATAACCGCGCTCACGTGACGCGTGGCAAAATCTCGATGCGAGCATGGCTCAGCGCCACGCCACTAGCCAGGCCCTGTGCCTGAGGCGGACTCAACGCGGCTCGCAGACCGAGACACGCCGAGGCTACGGACATATCAACACACCTACAGAATGTGGCAGCACGAGGGGGGCGGGGGGGGGGGGGGGGGGGGGGGGGGGGGGCGGGGTAAATTAGATATCAACACGATGACGACAGATTAAAGAGCATCTCTCGATCGTTACTGTGTTATGTAATTATAGTTGTAATAGTAAATGTCGTGTGCAGGCTTAAATCGTGATGTGCATGGAAAAAATTTTCTATTTTTTTTTGAAGAAATTTTTATCTTTGAAGCGATTCCGTTTGTTGTCGCCATCAGAACGGCATTGTTAGTAAGCTTGATTGCATCGTAGTCTTCAATGATTTTTGAATGTGGGAGGTCGTGACGACGTCGCCGAAACTGCAGCAGACAGACAGACATACAAACCTCGTCACCATCCCGCAGGGAGGACACGTAGCCCGCAACCTCGCTAAACACAGCTAAAAACTCAAAAAAACAAAAAAACGAAGCTACAATTCACGTTGCTTAACCCGCATAACCAAGAACTAGCGTAAACACTCTCACAAAGGGAGGTCCCTCGATAAAGGAATGAAGCCGTGAGATGCGTGTGATCGCTCCCTGTAACAGGATCGCTCCCCGTAACAGGATCGCTGTAACAGGATCGCTCCCCGTAACAGGATCACTCCCTGTAACAGGATCGCTCCACGTAACAGGATCGCTCCCGTAAGTCAGGATCGCTCCTGTAACAGGATCGCGTCCCTAGTAAGCAGGATGCGTCCCCGTACAGGAATCGTCCCTGTAACAGGCTGCATCACTGTAACAGGATGCGCTCCCTGTAACAGGGAGCGCTCCTTAACAGGAATCGCTCCCTGTAACAGGATTGCTCCCGATAAGCAGGAATCGGCTCCCTGTAACAGGGTCGGCTCCACGTAATCAGGATCGCTCCCCATAACAGGATTGTCGCCTGTAAAGTATCGCTCCACGTAACCAGGATTGCTCCGCCGTAACAGGATCGCTCCCTGTAGAGCAGGGTCGCCTGCAGCCTCGTAACAGGATCGCTCCCTGTACAGAATCGCTCGCTGTATAAACATGATCGCTCCCTGTAACAGGAATCGGCTGCGCGATCGTAACAGGAAGTGCGCTCCCTGTAACAGGAGGATTGCTCCCCGTAACAGGATCGCTCCTGTAACAGGAGGATCGCTGCCCTGTAACAGATCGCTCCCCCGTAACAGGATCGCTCCACGTAAAGCAGGAGTGCCGCTCCCGTAACAGGGTCGCTCCAACGTAACAGGATGTCGCTCCCCTGGAACAGGATCGCTCGCCGTTAACAGGATCGCTCGGCCTGTAACAGGTCGCGCCACTTGAAAGGATGCTCCCCGTAACAGGATCGCTCCCTGTAACAGGGTCGTCGAGGCACACGTAACAGGATTCGCTCCCTGTAAACATGACGCTGCCTGTAACCATGATCGCTCGCTGTAGAAGAGGATTGCCCCTGTAAGGCAGATCGCTCCCATTGTAACAGGATCGCTCCTTTGTAACAGGATCGCTCCCTGTAACATGATCGCTCGATGTAACAGGGTCGCTCCTGTATAAGGAATCGCTCCTGTGAACAGGATCGCTCCTGTACAGGAATGCGCTCCACGTAACGAGGATTGCTCCCGTAACAGGATCGCATCCCGCGTGTAACAGGATTGCTCGCCCGTAACAGGAATCCTCCCTGTAACAAGGAGTCGCTCCACGTAAACAGATCGCATCCAACGTACACAGGATTTGTCCCCTGTAACAGGATCGCTCACTAACAGGATCGCTCCACGTAACAGGATCTGCTCCTGTAACAGGAGCTCCTGTACAGGGTCGCTCCGGCTGTAACAGGGTCGCTGCACGTAACAGTGATCGCATCCCGTAACAGAGATCGCCGCCCGTAACAGGATCGCTCGGCACGACCTGTACAGGATCGCTCCTGTAACAGGAGTCGCTCCTGTAACAGGAATCGCTCTCCCGTAACAGGTCGCTCCCCGTAACAGGATCGCTCGCACACGTGAACAGGATCGGCTCACCGTAAAGGATCGCGTCCCTGGTAAAGGATCCTGCCGCTGTAAGCGAGGATAGCTCCTCTGTAAGCAGGATCGCAGTCGGCGTGTAAAAGGACGGCTCGCTGTAACAGGATCGCTCGCACGTAACAGGATCGCTCTCCGTAGAAACCAGGATACAAGACTACCTGTAAGATGGGATCGCTCCCCGTAACAGGATCGCTGCCCCGTAAACAGGATCGCCCCGTAACAGAATCGCTTCGCAATGTACAGGATCGGCTCCACGTTAACAGGATTCGCTCCCTGTAACTGGATCGCGTCCACGTACACAGGATACTCGGCTGTAGAATACGTAGGATCGACAGGTCCTGGTAACAAGGATCGCTGGGCCGTCGTAACGAGGGATCGATCCCTGTAACAGATCGGATGCCCCCGTAAACAGGCGCAGTCAATAGGGATGGGCTCGCCTTGTAAAGCAGGATGCGCGTCCCTGTGAACAAGGATTCGTGTCCTGGTAAGAAAGGATCGCTATACAAGGTATGAGAGAGGGGTGGAGGAGAGGAGAAAGGTCGACTTCCGGAAGGAGGTGGACAGTGAAAATAGGGTTAAAAGGTTGGGCGGCAGGGGGAGCGGTGGAAAGAGACAACAGGCTGGAGGAAGCAGTTGTAGGTGGAGGCACGAGTAGAGATAAGCGANACACACACACACACACACACACACACACACATACACACACACACACACGCACGCACACACACGACCGATTACATTACCTCCCCTGCAACTCCGTTGCGCGGAGGTAATTAGGTCCTGTGATGTTGTACTGACGATGCGGTGGTGCTTACTCACACAGACGCGGCTGCTGGTGCAGCGGCTGAGGCTGTCGTCGCTGGGCTGCGGGGAAGCAGCGATCGCGACGCTGAGCGATCGCACAGCACGCGTCGTTAACATCGTCCACGAGTCTCTGTCGCCGGCGACGATGGCCACGGCGGACGCTACAAGCGACGGCTGCTGGGACGAGCAGGTGAGCGGGAAGCAGACGTGACACGGGAAGCGACGACGTCACGTTGATGCATACGTGTCGATCTATGTGAACGTGTCACGTAGTCGCGGGGCGCACGCTGGTGCTGTATGGTAGTAGGTGGCTGCTGGTGTAGTATAAAGCTTGAAAAATATAATACCTGAGTTTTTTTTTAATAGTTATGTGTTATCTATTTATTATCTATGTATGCGTTTTCTATGTACTAATCTGATTTTTAAAGTGTATATTTTGTGTGTTTATGGTACTGTACGGTAGTTGTTGCACTGCCGTCATGCAGGGCAGACGTTGTAATGCTGGGACACGTCAGCACGGACTGTGCTCCCATGTAGATGACATTTATTATTATGATAATATTATTGTATAATAATTGTAATTAATGACCTTCGAATTAATGTGATTTCTCATTCAGCTCTACACTGTCACGTCGGCGAACCAGGCGCTGGCACAGTGGCGCCTCCTGTGTGACAACCTTCCCCTACTCATCGTCGGGCTGTCGCGGCATGCAGAGGGAGCCACGGGAGTCTGCGATCTCCTCGTGCAGACGATCGTCGACGACGACGTCACGGCAACGACAGATAAGTGCGTGTCATCACACAGGGCCTACTCCATCTTGTCGATGAAATGGAATATATATATATATATATCAAGAGCGTATAAAGAAGGAGAGCGTACAACGGTGAAATGGTGAAACCATGTCGCAGTATTAGTCGAATTAAGAAACTTTGCCCGCTTTATTTTGAGGATTCTTTGCGGTATTATTGATCAGGTGTCCTACCTTGTTAATATAAAACAAACCGCTTGTCCCTACGATGC